TCAAAAAAATAATTGTCATATTATTTTCTTTCTAAATATTAAAAAACAAATGACAAATAACAATAGTTTAATTTATAAGAAAGATATTTTTAAATTTAACCCAAATGGTAAAAAATTTAGAAATGAAACTTATAAGATATTTCTAAATTAGGCCTAAATGGTAAAAAATTTAGAAACGAAACTTGCAAAATAAAAAATAAATTATGATGATAAAATTCTTAGTAATCGCAAATAGATAATTATCTAAGACATTTCTAAGTGAGAAAATATTTCTAATTTTAGCTCAAATTGTGAAAAAATTAGATATGTTTTTAATAAAATAAAAATTTAACAAAAAAAAGTAAATGATTAAGTTTTTTTGACAACAAAGTTTTTTCAGAAAGATAAATGAGATTCTTGAGTACTCTTGAAGTGTGAAAGTATTTTTTGAATTTTTGCCAAATTGATGGAAAAATTTTAGAAATTATTTTTAATATTTTAAATATTAAATAAAAGGCCATTAGAATCATAGACCATTAGGATAATTTAAGATAAATGGTACTATAATTTTGATGAGCGTATGAGGGTGTTATAATATTCCTCATACGTAACTAAACTTTTGAACCATGTTCTTATTAGTAGACTAGAACCTATTTTTTTAGGGATCCTTAGTTAAGCTTAGTACATCTTTAAAATAATAGATTTATTAGGTGACTAATCACACTTTTAAAAAAAGATTGGTAATGACTCCTTAAGTCTGTGTCTAGCGATAGGTATACAGATCTATACACTATAACAGTTTGGTAACTTTACTGGGGATGTATAGAAAGTCAGGCCATAAAATTTTAAATTTATCAAATTTTTTGGTTAATGGTCTTAAAATGTAATGATTATGTTATTTGTTTACTAACATTTTTTTCTTTGTCTTTTATTTGATTTATGGAAATATGGTTAAAAATTATATGTTCCTTCACACACATTATCACATGCATTTACATTATATGAGCTCTATATCTAGGCTCCGTCCCTTTCAAAAGGGAGCAAAGTGTCTACACTTTCATAAGATGACAATCTCCATACTAGCTAACAAAATACTTTAATTGGATCTTTTTCGTTGGTAGCCTATGATGGGGATGATTAGCACCCATGAATTTTACCGACTTGGTTCACCATTTGTAATTTGTAATAATTTGTATTTTAAATGCATAATCTTATTCTATTAAAATGATGTTCTTTTATGTTTTCTATATAATAATATTTTCTTATTGATGAGAAAAGTCTAACAAATTTTGCAAATCAAGATTTCACATTCAAAGTAAATTGGTTCAATTTATAAGGTTATTTGTCTAAAAAAAAAAAATTGATTTTAGCCTATTTTGGTCTTATTTATTGATAGAGAGAATTTCTAATATTTGCAACTTAACTTGAAGTATGAAATGTCTATTTGTTTTAGAATTTTTAAAAGCAAATATATGACTTTTAGTTTGGGTTTGAAAAATAAATTTATTTGTTTTAAAATTTTTTAAAAAGTAAAAATTTGCATGTGATTTGACTCTTGAATATAGAAATAACAAGAAAGTGAACTCTTATGTGTTTTATAAATGTCATGTACAATGATATACATACACACACAAACCAAGTTAGAGTCAAAAGATTATATAACTATACACTTTAAGATTAAGATAACTACAAAGGAAATAACATAGCTATGTGTAGACTTTTATCTATTACTCTTGTCTAATATGGCTTTAGCTGTTACTTTCACTATGATGTGGATAAACTTTACCACTTCATTGATCATTGTTATCATGCCCTCATAAGATGACAGCTCCATCAAAGACACTAATCTTGTTTCTGGATGATGTAGCATTGTTTTAGATAATGGTTCGATTAGAGCATCTGTATGTTGACCTTTGGAAGAAATATAAGTAGCTTTGAGTTCTCCATAATTGACTTTAGGTCAAACAAAATGATAATCTAATGCAATGTACTTCATTTGAGAGTGAAACACAAAATTAGCACACAAATATGTAGCTTTCACATTATCAAAGGTCAAACAAAATGATAATCTAATGCAATGTGCTTCATTTGAGAGTGAAACACAAGATTAACACACAAATATGTAGCTCCCACGTTATCAAAGTGTAGGTTTGTGGTATAGACAAAGGAATTTTTAGTTCATGAAGTAAATTTTGAATCTAAGCAAGTTTATCTATAGTTGAGGCAATAGCTTTATATTCGACTTTCATGGAAGATCAAGCGACACATTTTTGCTTGTTCAATTTTCAATATACAACATTATCTTACAATTGGAGTAAATAACCACTTGTAGAAGTTCCGTCATCATTATTGCTAGCCCAATTAGAATTTGAAAAAGCATCAAGAAAAACAATGATCATTTTTTAATAAATAAACCATGATGAACTCTGCCATTCAAGAATTTTAAGAACCTTTTCAAAGAACTAAAATGAAAAATTGAAGGTGCATGTATAAAATATGATAGTTTATTAACAACAAAATAAGGATGGATGTAAAAGGTTGCTAGAACTCTAATAATCTACAAACATAGTCAAGGTGCTAAAAGAGGTTTAGCATAAAAGTATCTAAGAGTATATACTTACTTATATTACATACCATAATCATAGACAAGATGCTAAAAGATTTTAATGAAGAGATACTTGTCTATGATGAATTATATGAATCTCTCAAAAGGCATTTGTCTTAAGACACAAAATAAGAGAGATCACATGCATAGAACAATATGTGCTTTAATAATAAAATTTATCACGTATCATGCTATAGAGAGCTCGAACACCATGTAAATGGTTCTTTCACACTAGCTATTAATCCTAAAAGGATAATAACAAAGTTACAAAATGATTATATTTTACACTTAATGATGTAACAATTAGTTGGAAGGAGTTTCAAACAAATGATGATTGCAAATTCTACAACTTAAGCTTAATATAACTCTTAGTTTAAGGTGGCAAATGAAAAGGTCTGAAACAAGAAGTTGAAATATTAAATTCTATGGTTTTTTGCATTGTTGAAAATAATGAAGCTAGTGCTAAACAAAAGGAACCCAAGTCTAAAAAACAATTCAAACATGTATTGAGGCATTACAATTTAATTATGTAGTTGATAAAGAGAAGTGGTATTGAAGTATAATGAGTTCCCATAAAGGATTATTTAACTTATTCTTTTTATTGTGCTACTATTGATTATGTATTGACACATTACAATTTGATTATGTAATAACAAAGAGAAGTGGTATTTACTTACCCTAAACCTAAAGGCGATAATTTTTAAAGTTATTTATCTCATGAGGTAATGAAACGAGATAATTTTGAAAATGATCTTATCAATTCAGTTGACAATATATAATTGTCAATCAACATTTCTATTATTCTTCAAATTCATAAATTGCTAAAAATTTATCAACACTTAAGTCTTGAGATTTATCAAAAATTAAAAGTTCATCTAGATGCATCTTTATTTAAAAATGCATTGACTAATCGATATTGTATATTGTCGAACAAAAGAAATGTGGTTGATTGAGTGCCAATCAATATTCTTACCAAATATCTCTAATTTTATTTCATTTTATTTTGGAAAATCTATTATTTCATTCATCAATTTGGATCCAACATTTGGTGCTTGCACACATGTTAATAAATACTATCATATATAAAAGTATGATGTGTGTAAAACTTTAAGTAAATTATATCACTAATCCATGGCTTTTTCTACCTTAATCTTAGTAAAAGGTGTTTTAGATGTGCTCGATTCCAAGTTAATGTCAAATAAAAAAATTTTGGCTATAGTTTTCCTTGCGATGGTCTAGGATAAGGTGGTACTTATGATATTTTGGCGTGGGACGCATTTTATTTTGAAGTTTTCTATATGTTAAATACCATTGGATGGGTTACTTTTTATTAGCATTGGAAAAACATCACATTATGGTGGATAATGTCTCACAGTTTAATGAATCTTCTACTTATTTGATAGGATGGTTAAGAGATTGTTTATGGTTAAACTCTTCACAACTTATTAATATGCTATTTTTATCCATGATCTAAAAGTTTTTTTTTTTTATCCATAACCTTTCGAGTGTTCCTTTTTTTCAAATCTAATCAATATTATGTTAGAATTTATGTGCAATAAGGATGAAGTTTGCCGCATGACCTTTTTTTTTTTACATTTACAAGGCAAATTTCATCTAAATTTTAACCATATGTTGTTGGATGTATAAATTTGTAACTAATTCAAAAAATTCAAAAAGTAAGGACTAAAAAAAATTAAAAATTTTGTTGCAAATGAAAATGTCTTGGTAAAAAAAAATGGACTAATGATGAAATTACTTAATATTTTTATAAAAAATATTTTTTATTTATTATATTTCCAAATTATCATTTTAATTTTTTTATTATAATTATAAATTAATAATAATAAGATTTAATCCTATTGAACTAGTTTGATTAGAATATGATTTACTTAGCTTAGAATTATTTATTCATTGTATTTCTAAATTTTAATTGTATTAAGTTAAAAAATGAAAAATTATTTCAAATAATAAAAATTCAATTACAAGAATTATAAAATTATTTATGTATTTTTATTATGGCTTTATTTATTCGACATGTATTAATATGTATCAATTTTATAATAAAATAAAATAAATTAATCTGCCATCCTAGTGATTGAAAGATTAACTTGTTTGGTTAAGAGCTGGACATTTTATAAGAGGTGGTGTTAGGATACAATATATAAGAATATATAAAAATAGTCCCCTGCTTTTATTTTACATGACAACTCATCAATGTAAAAAGACATCATTTGAACGATATTTTGAAAAGACACAAAAGGTAGAAGCTTTTAGAGATTTATTGTAAAAATAAATAAATAAATGTCTTGGAAGAACAGATGTGCCAAGCTTCTTTATTTTTTTTCTCCATTTTCTTCATAAGATTATTGAAGAGGGAAAAAGGTACTAAGAGAAACATTGAAGATGTGTCTTTAAAATGGCCCTGAAGCTTCTTTGTCAAAGCCTAACCAAAACCAAAACAACCATCGTTATCCATTATTTCTCCACCACGGCCGTTGTGGCTTCCCCACCAAAGTATGAGAACCCAACAGGAATTACCATGAAAAGTGTGAAAATTGTGGGTCATCCACTTTACCTCGACATGCAAGGGACTTTCCTAGTAGACCTTAGGATTTTGGATTCAATGTTTTCATTCTACCTTTCTCGTTATAGCAACCCTCAATCTCATACTTACTTCTATGGTTGGGAATTGAAAATAGCCACTAAAAGCACCCGTTTACAAATAGGCACACTTATTGGAGCTTTCCCAAAAAAAATTGTCTACTTTCGGTGCCATGGAATTGAACAACATCTCAATGAAAAACGTCATGCATTTTTACAAAGACAAGAAACACCATGTCATGATGATGCAAACGAAGCACAAATGCATTTTGGATTCTTACCAGCATCTTCAACAAGAAGGTTTTGAGGTAACTTATTTGCTTATTCGGTTTGAAAAATGTTTGTCTTTTTCTTGGAAAGCTTTTTTTTTATTTTTTTTATTTTTCAATTAAAGTTTTTTCTTCTTTGGTACTTAACTTTTTTATTTGTTTGATTTAAATTGAAATGTTTATTTTAATTGTTTACTATTATTTCTTAAATGCATTGATTTTGTCCTTTATTTTTAAATTTGTTAAATTTTTTATTTGTACTTTTTTCCTATTTGATTTCCTTAAAATGTTGGTTATATTAGTGGAATCAATGTTATATTAAGAGTAAGTTTAAATTTTTTCTTAATTTTTTGGTTTTTGTTACATGCATGTAGACTTATATACTCAGAACAAAAGTTTCATGCCTTGATATTTGGTTAATTGAAAGAAATGATATTTACATTAACTAAAAAAAATGGTACTTTTACATTGAGTTGTTGAAAATTAATAAAAGATTTACATCTTATGTACTTCAATTTCCTGCAACCTTTGATAATTTTGAAACATTTCAAAAATCTCTTCTAAATACATTTATTAAAATACATGACAATGTTTAATTGTTTAAGCCTCTATTAAGTTTCTATAGAAGAGAAAAATCGCATGTCTTTAATTTTGTTTCATGAGTTATCTATTTTACAGCTGCATACCTTTGTACAACTTTAGTTATATTTATAACTACTTAATATATTTTCTCAAAAATTTATGGACAAGCATATATATAATGGTAGGCAAATGATAATGAATTTTTAACAAAATCTTCTAACTGAGTTTAAAGTTTTGTTTAACAAAATCTTCCAATTGAATTCACAACAAATGACAATGAATATTTAACAAAATCTTCCAATAGTTAAGTTAAATCTTCAGCTTTATTGATGTTAAAGAAAATGGGTATAGTTTTGAGATGTTACCTCTCATACTAAAGGAAAAATGGACGAAAAGATCTCAAGTCCTTGCTTTATACTATCTGTTTTAACCTTTTCATTTTTTCATCTAACTATTCAAGGAAACTATATTTCTCAAGTGGATGAATCTTGAAAAGAATATTTAACAAAATCTTCCTATTGAATTTATAGCAAATGACAATGAATATTTGACAAAATCTTTCAATGATTAAGCTGAGTCTTTAGTAGTTTGATGTCTACAGCTTTGTTGATGTTAAAGAAAATGGGTATAGTTCTAAGACGTTACCTCTCATACCAAAGGAAAAATGGAGGAAAGGATCTCGAGTTCTTGCTTTATACTACCTATTTTACCTATTCATTTTTCATCTAACTATTTAAGAAAACTATATTTCTCAAGTGGATGAATCTTGAAAAGGATCTTTAACTTTTGTTATAATACTTCAAAATTTTTAAGTGACCTAAATTTGTTTATGATGAAAATTTTACTCATTAAAATTCAATGGATCACATTGATCAGAAGATATGCTGTAATTGTCGTAAATGATGATATTATTTTTCCTATTTTGTAAAGTGTATATTCCATAAAAAACCTTTCACGTTTCTCAATTTTCATCTAGTTTGAGTATTACTCTAGGATTCTCATTTAATGTATTACAGTTGAATGCAGCTATAAATTGCTTCAAATACTATTAATTTTAAGCTCGGGCCACCTGCAAACTTAAAAATCGATGATAGATGCTGCAGCTTTTATAAGTGAACAAAGTCTTACTATATCCTGATAAAAACAAAAAAAAAAAGCAAACCAAATATGTATTTAACATTTGTATTTATGTATGATTATATTTCTTTTTGGTTCAATCAAGTGAATGATTTTCTCAGAAATTGCATGTAAAGCTATTATGAAATATTTAGAATGGCCATAATTGTATACCTGATGAACAGTAAGTCTAGACACCACTCAAAGTAAGCATCTAAACTATTTTTTCGTAGGTAATATGTATTAGATTTTCTGATTATAATTTGTTTTCCTTTTCTTTCCTTTTACTTTTAGGCATTTCATTCAAATATGGTTATTACCTTTTACTTAATAAAGAGGCCAATTAGCGATTTGCTAAGATTAACAATCATAAAATATCTCTTTCTTTATTTAATTTTTTCTTTTATGAAAAATAATTTGTGATGGAATTAATTGATTTTTTTTTCAATGATTAATCTATTTGATGAATGATTAGCATATAGGTGTTGTCAGATAGCAAAAAGAGAGAAATATATGATAGGCATGGAGAGGAGAGCCTGAAGTAGCATGTTGCTAGCGGTGGTAGAAGTGGAATAAGGATTAATATTCAAGACATCTTTAGCACATAAGATTGTTAAAATTTACTTCTTTTATTACTATTGCATCACATTTAATTATCTTAATATTAATATGGTAGTAATTGAAATGCTATGGTAACTTAAGTGCTGGCATTGTACCCACATATACTTGAAGTTAAAACCTTTACTTTATTAGTGAATATGTATGAAATCATCAATAAAATGTTAGTTATTGACTTATAATTGTGATAACATACATTAATAATTATTTTAACCTTTAAGAATCATCTCCCAATTCCTATATTCTCTTAGTTTAAATGTGGCTAGCCATCATTTTTGAGGAATCGTTCACTTTTAGTTATGTTTTGCTAAATTGAATCACCTACTTTTGCTTATAAGATAGAGCTTTTCTTTAGGTTTTTTATAGAGGTCAAGCATAAGAGAAAGAGAGAATTGTGAAGGGTGATGATGTAATTGTTGAATTGGATACAACATTGGAAGATTTGTACATGGTGGTACTCTTAAGGTGGAAATTAGTTTTTATATTTTTTTAAATATAGACTAAGGAATTTTTCGTTAGTCTTTTTGCAACAATTGATGTTTTAAACTAATATATCTTTCTCTTTTTTTTTTCTTAAGTTATTAGGTAATTTCTCTTTGGATGTTGAGTTGCAAATAAAGTTACTTATTCTTTTTATGATCCAATGATAGGTAAAGTATTTAGATTATGAATATTATATTTAATTAATATCTACTTCATAATTTGAATAATATCTATTTCACTATTATACAACCCACAGCATAGTGTAGCTTTGCAAACTAATTATTATAAAGTGTTAAGTTAAAATTAAGAGTAATAAAGAATGTTCTATAAGGTAGAAAATGATTTGATATATTCTATTAAAATTTGAAATTTAATCTTTATATTATAATTTATACAAATTTAGTTTGTAAACTATTTTAATTTGATAATTTTAGTCCAATAACTAACTTTATAATTTTTTTGTTGATAAAAATATTGATGTGGCCATTGACTTGATAATGTGGGTGTTGATTTTGCTAATGCGACAACTTAAATTGATGAAATCAATTATTAAATTATATAAATAATCATTATATTTATATGAAATTTGAAATTTAATCCCTTTAATATAATTTCATAAAAATCTCTTGCTCATACAAGTTTAATTTAATAATGTTGGTACAATTACTAGTAAAAATCATATTTTTTTTCATTTTCTAAACTAAGATTTTAATTTTTTAAAAAAATCAATACTTTGAATTTTTTAGAATTTTTTTCATATTTTTAGAATTTTAAATTTAATATTTTAAATATTTTAGTTTTTAAAAATCATATTTTTATTAAAATTATATTTTTTTAAAAAAAATTAATATTTCCTATATTTTAGAATTTTCTAGATTTTTTAGAAACATTAAATTTATTTTCTTTTTTGAAATTTTAACTTTTTAAATTTCACTTTTGGAATTTTTTTCAAAATTTAACATTTTATTTAAACATAATATTGAAGTTTAATATCTTTTAATTTTTTGGAATATATATAAAATTTTCTATATTTTTTAATTTTTATGTTTTTATAAAATTTTCATTTTTTATAAAAAATATACAAAATCTCTAAAAATCATAAAAATTAAAAATATAGAAAACTTTATAAAAAAATCCATAAAAATTAAATATTTTTATTAAATAACTTATTAAAAGTTCAAAAATAAAAAATTCAAAAATTTTATTTTATTTTAAAAAATTAAATATGGAAAAAACTAAATTTATTATTTTTAAAATTTTAGAAAATTTCTAAAAAAATTGGAATATTAAATTTTTTTAAAAAGTAAAATCGAATTTTAAAAAATTTTAAAAATATGATTTTAAAAAATGAATATACTTAAAAGTATTAAATTTAATATTTTAAAATATAAAAAAATCAAAATATTGATTTTAAAAAATAAAATCTTATTTAAAAAAGTAAAAAATAGTATTTTTATTATTAGTGAAACTAACATTATTAAATTCAAATTATACGAAAACGAGAATTTTTTAAAATTATATTAAAAGAATTAAATTTAATTTTATATAAATATAAAAAAAGTTTACATAATTTAATAATTAATTTTATAAATTAAAATTCTTATATTAGTAAAATTAATGTTACGTTAATAAAATCAATATCATTAACGTCAATAATTTTATGATAAAAAAATTAATAGAATTAGTTATTAAACTAAGATAATATAATAATTAAATTTATATAAATTATAATGAAAAAAACTAAATTTTAAATTTTAAAAAATTACAAGAGCATGTAACGTAATTTTAGCAAAAGAAAAGTGTTCCATGAATCCATGAGTGATGATCCAACCACAATCCAGCAGAGCCAGAAATCGACGTGACTACTGAATTTCTAGTGGATGGTTTAACGTCAAGCTTTACATTACATTGGTTCGTACTTGACTTTAATTAATTTAATTTCCTAAACGCCACCGCTTTTAATTTAATTTAATTTAATTATTTTTCTCTCCTTGAAGACTTTTTTTCTTTTTCTACCATTTACTTTTGCTGTTCCACCCTGTCTACCTTCTTCCTCAACTCCATTTTATCCTTTTGTTTTAGAAGATACTATAATTATTATTATTTAAAGAAAAAAATAAAAAAATGGCGAGGAGTAGATCAACTTCGTCTTCGAGTAAATTGAGATACTGTAACCCTTCGTATTATTTGAAAAGACCGAAGCGTTTGGCTTTGCTTTTGATTGCATTTGTTTCAGCTACTTTTTTCGTCTGGGATCGTCAAACTCTCGTTAGAGAACACGAGGTAAATTTTTTCTACTTTTTTTTTTTAAATCTTTTGACTCTTTAATTTAGGTATTGCTCTGTTTTCTTTTTTTTTTTCTTGGAAATCATGAAGGATGACCATAATTGTTTTAGCCTTTTGTCTTCGTTGATCAAAATTTATTACTTTGTTGGTTTGATGTGGAATTGAAGGAGTTAGAATTTTATTTTTTTGAAGAAAGAAATTAGAATTGTTAGATCATGAATTTCAAGCAAATCGAGCACTGATCTGTTAGCACTAATTGCTGTCATTCTAATATTGTTAATGGAAATTTAGAAGAATTTTGATTTTGAGTCAGAAAGCGAGATAATTTGGTAGTAACTTTTTTTTTTTGGTAATTTGGTGTTGGCATTTTTTGAGAATGAATTGAGTTTTGATTCAGTATTTTATAGTTAAGAAATTAGTAAAGATATTTCCTAATTTTTGAAAGTGGTGAATCAGAAGAAGCTTTTTCATTAATATGAATTTTATGGATTTGATGGCTTAAAAATTGAAGTGGATATTACTTATGAATTTGGGATAATGATAAGTGATGGCAGCCGTGTTCAAATTCGCTACTAGAAGTGGATACATCCTTGCTATAGGAGTTCTTTTTAAATGCCTGTGTATAACAAATTTCATGCTGACGTGTAGGTTGAAGTGTCCAAGTTGACTGATGAAGTGCATCGATTACAAAATATGGTAAGAGCTTCATTTATGTGCTCAAGTTAAGCGTTCTTTTCTACTTATTTGAATAAATGTAAAACATCATTTTTCACATTAATTTACCATACTTTCTTTTCCCTGGAAGGGGTTTTCTGAATTATTATTCTTGACTGGCAAATTTCTATGTGAATTTATTTGGAGACTCTAGATTTAGGGTTTTTTTTTTTTAAATTCACTGTCAACATATTTATAAAATGGTGGATTAGAGATTTTCTTAAAAACTCATTTGTTTTTTTCTTTTATTCTGTCCTCAATGCAACTGGAGTGACCTGTCCATGGCACATGCTTGATTCCAAAAACCGTGTCTTTTCCTAACCACCTGGGTTCATGGATCATGTTTGGCTAGATGCATGGACTAAGTATTAGCATTTGGTTCTTTCAGCTGGAGGAATTAAAGATGAAGGTGGTGCCAAATGATCCCATTGAAATGCAAAGAAGAGAAAAGGTGAAGGAAGCTATGATTCATGCCTGGAGTTCATATGAGAAGTATGCATGGGGCAATGATGAACTTCAGGTATGCTGAAATCTTTCTGTGCATATTATATCAAGCAGTTCTCTTTCCTTTTTCTCCCGCTTTACTACATTTTTGGTCATATTACCTAAGTTATGATAAGTAACATTAATGTTCATGATTTCTTCTACAAACTAGGAGCTTTCTGTGCCAAAGTAACATTAATATTCATGTGTTCAGTTTGTACCTCATCATTAAGTTCAGTTAACTTGAATAATTATCTGATTTTCAATATATGTTGATATGTTTGCTGTACTCATTCTACTTGTCAGAACTTGTCTCGCTTACAAATCTTATAGAGCTTAGTTAAAAAACTTAAAGTGATTGATTTCTTGAGATTCAGGGGTTCTTGCTTTTCAATTATATGGGAAATTTTAAGGCTGTTGCCTTCATTATCATGCTTTATGTGAATTTCTGTTAGCAAATAAATAATGACTTAAAAGGAAGTGTCAAAGATAATGCCTTTATGAGGAAACTAAGTGATGCATGTTTGCAAATCATTCTTTTCTGAAGCAAGAGGCTTATGCTTTACTTCATGACTCCCTAATTTGTTTGAGTATTAACTTTTGGTAGAGAACAAAGTTCTTAGACAATTCTTAGGTTGGTTTTTCCCTTCTTGTTCAATGTCATTACAAATTGTTTGATGGTTTCTCAACACTCTGAATGTGCTTTTCATTTATGGTGAAAAACTTTTTCAGAATGAAGAATTAGCACTGAATGTGAACAACTTTGAAAATATTTCAAAAGTTAATTGAAGAAGAATTGAACTCATGTTGTCAGTTTGGCAGTGATCATGAACTTATAATTGTTGAAAAAACATTGGATGATATGAAAGGGAAAAAGAAAAACTAACTTGAATTTTATGCATACCAACTTCAACTTGTTTAAAATAGGACCTTTCTGTTATATGTTTGCTAAGGTATGTCTTGTTCAAATTCTAAAACTGATGCAAATAGTTTGGTTATAATTTTACATCTTAAAAAAATTCTAGACTGGTCCTTTGGTGGCATTCAATTCCCCCCTCGCTACAAGGCTTTCATAAAGATGCTAATTTTGTTGACTTTTGATGTCCTGTACCAGCCTCAGTCAATGAATGGAGTCAATAGCTTTGGTGGTCTTGGAGCAACATTAATAGACTCTCTTGATACTTTATATATTATGGGTCTAGATGAGCAGTTCCGAAGAGCAAGAGAGTGAGTTCAATTTTCTATTTTTGGCTTTTTTGTTCTCAATATAAAGGTCTATTTCATTGTATGCTAGATTGCATCATTCTCTCCTTTTCATCTAATCAGAAATAACTTTTAAGTATGAATTTTTGTTTGCCTGGGCTTGTGATTTAGAAGAAGTTTCATAGCTTCAAGCTAGATATTACTTGTCATGCTACTTTACCAATGGGGGGCTAGCAATTCACTTGTGAGGGAGATATTACCATTTATAAGCAGTTATATTTGTTGTTTTTCTATGTTAAACTTTGGAAATAAAACGGTGCTGGGAGTCTTGCTGGAGGAAGGCATGATTGCTATTTTGCCTTGTTTCTGTAGATTATAACTTACTTGAATGAGAACATGCAGATTTGAAACTGGGAATGAAAATCGCAAATGTTAAATAGAAAGAAGAAAAAGAATTACCAAGCTTCATACACACAGGTTTCATAGGATTTGCACCTAAGGTTGATTACTCCATGCACGTAAAGAGCTTATTTCTGGAAAACCATCTCCAAGTAGTTCACCTTTAATTGAAAGAAGTTACATATTCATTGAGGCATGGTAATCCTAATAATCATGCAAGAGTTTGCAACAACCACAATTGATTTAAAATAATTCCCTAGACTATGAATAGAGACCTAATACTCAGAAATATATAATACAAGGCTCTTCAACTTAAAATCTACTATCTTTGGTAAATCTTGAAATTACTGGATCATCCCTTATACCTAAAACTTGAAAAACACAATTAGATAAAAGCAACAACCTTTTAATTCTGAAGAACTGAAAAAGGACAAGAGCAAATAAACAAAGCCTTTTCCTGTTAGATGAAGCATTTAAATTGAAAAAAAGGCATTGAACATTATATTTTTATTAAAACTTTTGTATTCAACTTGTAAATGTATCATATGGTTCATTCCGAGCTAGTAAATTAAAATTGATAAAAAAAATAGTGTGATGTAGAGTTCTAAGAAGCTAGTTGTGGGGTGAACCTATTTAAGATTTTATTTTGTTACTTTGTTATATTTATGGAGGTCAATTGTAATATTTTGCAGATCTAGGGTTATATTTGGTATTCTACATTTATATTAGGGTTTAGTTTATTAGACTTGGTTTTTAAGTGTCAAGGTGGTTAGTGTTTAGGGTGTCAAGTATTTTCTTTAAATTCCTATTTGGAAGTTGGAATAGGACTACTAGTTCTTCTAGGGTTAGGATTGCTAGCATAACTTATAAAAATATCAATGTACTCTTTCTTTTGAGGACAGGATATGAGATTATGACAAGAGATTTTTAAGTATTATTGATATTGTGATTGCGTGATGCAATCAACCTTAGGTGTGATGCTTAGGTTTTCTTCCTTCTTGGTTGTGTGATGCAATCAAGGAACACTAGGTGTGAAGCTTAAGGATCTTTTCTTTTCTGTTTCCATTTTCTTTAGAATTTCAGATTATTATTATCATAAATCCTAGCCTTTCAAGTTGTCCTACGTCATAGTGATTTTGTTGCATGACAACTTGAATAATTCAAGTAAAATTTGTAACTCTTATCATAAAAATGTATTTGAAATAAAACAAAATGTTATAGAGGTTTCTTAATCTTCACAACAGTTTCAAACCCCTTAATTTTTATCTGATATTGATAAATAAAAGATAAAAGATAGCGATTCAAGTAGACTACAACTCTAACTTGAATTAATTTAAGTAGATCACAACTCTATTATAAATTTATTAGAAATAAGATAGAAAAAGTGATAAAAGTAATTTCTTTTCTTCGCCAAAGTTTCACACCCCTTAAACCACATTTATATATAGTATAGGTATATCTATCTATATCTATATATATATATATATATATATATATATCTTTATTCTATGAAATGTGCATTTATCTCAGTTTTGGTTGCTCCCATATCAATATGCTTTTCTTAAATAGATAGCAGGAAGGGATATTTGTTATTTAGTCCAATCAAACATTGTCTTCCTATTTATACCAAATCAGGAGATGAAACTGCCTTTTTTTGTTTTGTAGTTTATATTTACACTAGAAATTAGCCTGATGCTGCAGGTTCATTTTTTCTAAGTTGGAACTTGTAAAGTTTTCTCTAATTCTTTTTTCTTAATTTTTGTATTTTATTTCAAATTTTAAGAAATTATGATGTTAATAAAATCAAATTTGCCAATTGTGGCAATGCATTTGAGAAATAGAATAATTCTTATAAATATTATGTTGAGTGTCTCAAATAATAATTAGTATTAAATTAGGAATTATTAAAACTTATATTATTGTATAGTTACAATTATTTAATTGATTTTTTAAAAATTATTTAAAGAAGAGGTTTTTTTTTTTCTTTTGTATCTAGGAAAAAAATGGAAAAAAGGAAAAATAATAATAGAATAGATTAAGCTTGCTTCCATTTTTCTCTGCATTTTTTGGGTAACTTTTTTTGCAAAAAATAATTATCTAGAAAAATTGAAAGGAAAAACAAAAAAGAGGGAAATGAAAAAATTGTTAACTTTTTTTTTCTTTTCCTTCTTTTCCTCTACTTCTTCTCTATCTTTTTTTTTTGGGAAAATATCCTTTTCTTCTTTTTTTAAAGTAATGTGTTAGGAGTTCTAGTTGCATGACAAATTGCAGCAAATTGGGTTGCCAAGTGTCAAGCAATTAGGATGCCCTCGGACCTTACTTTTAAATGTAGTTTTGGTTAGCTACTTAAAAAATCTTTGATGGACAGGCTAGTGGTGTCATCAGTTCTTGTAGTAGTTGTGTGCTTTTTACTATCACTGCAATTTGCCATTTGTAACAGAAAATCAGGCATATATTGTTAAATTTTGCTCCCTTAGGCTCTCCTTTATTGCTTGTGCACCTAAGAAATGCTGTTCTGAAAGTAAGAATGGTGAAACTTCATATGCAGAGAGATTGGACTGTTAATGTGTGAGCCAATCACTTTCTTTATGATATTTTGTGGCATCATGTAGCGGTTTTTCTTAGTTCTGCTGCTCCTAGGGTACAACAGCCCAGCTTCTTTGTTAAAGCTTTGCTTACCTTTCATTAGTGGTCGCGGGAAATTCTAGATCACCTTTTCCTTTGAAAAAGAAACTCTTTGATCACCTTATTTCTCTAGTCATGAACAATGTGAATTGATGAAAATACTTATGGGGAAATATCTAATTGTTATTATGTAATGCAATTGAGTTTCATCATTGCTCTCTCTCTCTCTCTCTCTCTCTCTCTCTCTCTCTCTCTCACCCTCAGCCTACTTGCTTTTTCTTATTGTATGTTTGTCAAGTATCTTTCAACATTCTTAGCATTCATTATTATGTCACCAACCTCCTTTTCTGAATATTCAAGTTCTTGTTCCTATCATTTTCTTCAGATGCTCACTTTTTTCTTTCTTCCTTTTACCTTACAACATGTTCTAGTTTACAAGGAAACTAGTCTGTATGTCCCCTCAGGTCCCTGGACTGACATTACTAAGTCTAGTGAGTCATTTGCTTAGATTCAAACTGTTTGAGTTCAATAATTGCATTTGATTGGAACACATGCACTTCTGGTTATGATAGCAAGGAGTCTTGTATCCTGGCCGTTTGCATAATGCTGGGCTGTGATCATTGGTGCTCTGGAGACAGGGAAGCATTAAGTTGCTCCACCCATTTGTCTGTCTTGTCACCATTTCCTATGTACATGTAGTTGGTAATACTGTTTTCCTGGAGAGCTTATGGTTAAATTACTATTGATAGGTGTTGTGGTGCTGTTATTTGCAGGTGGGTTGCAAACTCATTGGATTTTAATAAGGACTATGATGCCAGTGTTTTTGAAACAACCATAAGGTTGCGTTTGTCAAGTTTTTATGTGCATTAGTTGTTTTGTCAAGAAACTATTATGAGTTATGATTCTTTTCTGCCCTTCTAAATATTTTTTCTTTTTTTAATTGACACTAATTTCTCCGGTTTATTCTAATTGAAAATTCAGAGTTGTTGGTGGACTTCTTAGTGCATATGATCTTTCAGGCGACAAGGTTTTCCTTGAAAAAGCTAGAGATATTGCTGATAGATTGCTACCTGCCTGGGATACTCCTACTGGGATCCCCTATAATGTTATCAACTTGGCTCATGGAAATGCACATAACCCTGGATGGACTGGGGTAAGTCTTTTGCATTTCTACTGTTTAGTATTTACTCTCTTTGATGCTATAGCAGTGAAAGTTTTTTTACATTTTGTGAATAAGCTAGGAGGCTTGGATTATGACCTCACTAGCTTATATCAGTATGCTGTTGGATTAGCAAATCATGGCCTCCTTGCTATTTCCATCTCCTTTTAACCCTAACAATGATTACTATTTGGCATTATAAAGGTGTGCGCCTAGGTGCTAAGGTGCAGTGCCAATTTAACAAAGGTGCCTCACATCCCTTTGGGCAAGGTTTCTTGGACAAGGTGCATGCTTTTATACGTAGACACACTTTTGTCAAGGCACATAAAAGCATGCACTAAGTGTCCCTGTGATTTCTTTAGTTTTTTATTTCTTTTATTAGCTGTAACTTAAGAAGAAAAAAGTGGACAATGCAAATGCCTTTTACAATAAAGATCACTAATATGGTCCATGTGCAACTTTTTATTGAATATGGAGAGAGGGAAAAATTGAGCTAGTGCTTGATGATGACTTTTAGTTAATTACTGATAAAACTTGATCTTTAGAATAAATTAGCTCGTTGTATGGAGTTAATTTATTAATGCCGATTAATAATATATGGATTTTAAGCTTGTTGGACATGATGTATAGAAATTTCTTTCTTTTATGTATGTGTATTATAGTTTTTTAAATGTATAAAGCATAGCACCTTATGCTATTAGGGCGTGCTTTTGTCTCACCTTGTGCCTTGCTGATGTAAACAAATCCTTACACATTAGACATCACTAACATTGCTTAAGACTTAATGAAGCATGTGTTGGTTAGAGTGGAATTGTGCAGAATCATTTATTTAGCTGATTCCTTTAGTTGAGATTAAAGCTTTACTGAGTTTGATTTGAATACTATTATTTGATTATGCAGCAAATAAGATCATGTTCGCTGGAGATTATTCTGTGTCTGTTTTTGGCAAATCATTTGTTAGATCTTTCATTATCCTTTATGTGGTAGTTGTCATTCCACTAGTAGAAAAATAACCTTCTAAGAAGAAAGCTCTTTTAGGTGGCTCAAGAGCTGGTATTAGATGTTTATTTTATACATTTATTTGATTTAATTTGATTTTTCCCCCCCGTTCCTAGGGCGAAAGTATTCTTGCAGATTCAGGGACAGAGCAACTAGAGTTTATTGCTCTTTCGCAAAGAACAGGAGATCCCAAGTATCAGGAGAAGGTATATTTGTCTCATGTTTATGCGTGCCTATGTTACAGAACATGTTTCTAATTGTTGTGGTAGAACTGCTTTATTGATATCTGACTTCTGTGTTGAACCAATCTCTATAATCATATCTTAGAAGTTGGGTTAAAATTTTTGAATGAAAATATATATTGAATAGACAACCACTGGTTCTTTGAGGAAAAAAAGGTTAAGTGGCTATTGGTTGCTGAGGTGGTTAATTAATTTGCTTGTGCTTTGATGTATTAGGTGGAGAAGGTTATAGTTGCGCTTAATAAAACTTTTCCAGCAGATGGTTTGCTTCCCATCTATATTAATCCTGACAGAGGAACTGGTTCATACTCTACTATAACTTTTGGTGCTATGGGTGACAGGTATTTGCCATTTGAAAAATCCACCTTTCTTTTTCTTGGCTTCACATTTCATCACTTTTTTTTCATTTGAGATTCTGCATAATATGAATAAGTTTATTGCAGCTTCTATGAATATCTGCTCAAAGTATGGATACAAGGAAACAAAACATCATCTGTAAAATTTTATAGGTGAGGATTCCATCATCTTTCTTTTCTCCATTTGCATTGTTGAATTGCTGCTATTAATAGCTGCTTATGGTTTTTCATTGGATGAGAAAATCATATTTCTTTTAAAGTTAAAGACTTTTAAGGAGCTAAGCTTTTGTCTGAGTTGAAAATGTTATCTATTTTAATATACAGACATGGAAAGTGCATACTACCTTATTTATTGGTACCTCTCCCTTTATAGAAGTTTAGTTGAGATAATTTTTTATGCATTTTCACTTTTGGTATTTTAGCTTTCAATTTTGTACCTCTAAAACTGCCTCAACTCAGCTGAACTCTAACTCTATATGAGTATATGACTAAACCTTATGGTACCTGGTTATTTAAGTTCTCCTTCCATCCTGCACAATCAATTTTATGCTTATTGTAAGATTTCAGAAAATTGAATCATTGTTCACCACTTAGTTATTTTGCGCCTGGTTTTGCTTCTTTTATTCTATTTCCCGAGAATGAAGGCACTTTTTGTTGCTGGCACAACTGTAGGCTCATGCAGAATGTGACGAGTATCTAATGCATTCTAATTATATCAAATGGATGTCACTTCCAAGTTTTGTAGGTTTTGTTCTAAGTCTGAAGTACAAAAATAAAATGTAAAAGACTTGGTAAAGGCTGAATTTTTGTTACTTGAGATAAATCCTTAGTGGACTTTCAAACGTCAAAAATGTTCTGGCATGAACAAGTATATGCTAAAAGTCTTTGTTGATGAATTTGATTTTCATGTTTTAAGCATATCATTTTTAATGCAATACTTAACTACTTTATTTTGATTTAACTTCCCATTAAGAAAACCCCATTATGCAATGTTGGATGTAGAGATATGTGGGAGATATCAATGAAAGGTCTACTGAGCTTAATTAGAAGATCAACACCATCATCTTTTGCATATATCTGTGAGAAAAATGGGGATTCACTGACAGACAAGGTAATTTTGGGTTACTGTAGCTCTAGTATTGCATTGCTTTTTTATAGTGCAATTATTTCACTGTGTGCTTCGACATTTCATATTTATGCAGATGGATGAATTAGCATGCTTTGCTCCAGGAATGCTGGCTTTAGGGTCATCTGGTTATGGTCCTGGGGAGGCAAAGAAATTTTTTTCACTTGCTGAAGAGGTATTTTTTATACTTGAAATGCTAACCTTAAAATGCTTTCACCTTGATTTTACTACTGAAAAATGTTTCATATTTTTGATGAATTTCCCTTGGACAAATGTCAAAGTTAGCCTTACTGGTTCTGATATAGAAAGTTGATGTCATCCATGAGATCAGTAGATGACCAAATCTTAGATCACTGCCAAGGTCGTTTTTGTGCATGCAGCCACATGTGTCAAGGAAAACTTGGAAAAATTAAGAAATATCTTTTCCTTTAATGATCAAAACTCAAAAGCAGCTACATAAACATTGCTAAGCCTTCATGTCCATTTGGGTCTGAGCATACCCAGCTCTCACAAAGAGTAAACTAGATAGGTCAAGATGATTGTGGCTTGTTGAAAGAAAGAGAACTAAACTAGTTTTTGCTATAAGGTTTTCGATGTTAAGAGTAATTCTTCATGCCTTATATTAGAAGAAATTTTGTCCCTTTTGCAAATTGGCATGCTAGAATGAGATTCTACACTCCTGACATTTTTAATTTGTTTGAGGTCTACAATCAATTTATTTATGTTGGATTTAATGCTTCTCATGTTGGCACTGTAGATTACTTTCCTCAGTATAGGGCACATTTCCTTCTTGTTTCCATGTACAAGCATTATGTTCTTGAATATTGTCTTATGTTATGGTGAATGGTAATTAAGAGTTTAAGACTTCATGGCCTCTGGCATTTTTGGCTCTCCTGCTTGCTTTCCAAATATGAGGACATGTGTGACTTGCAGTTATCTTGTTTTCTTCTTTGTCACTGGGGGCAAAAGTTATGTAAAACATTGTGTCTTCAGTTAAGGGTATCAAATGAGCAGGCATGGGCGGATTATAAATAGGTTGGGTTCCAAGTACTTGTTTTCCCATGCATGATCCATTTAAACAGCTGCTGGTTCTTTGGGTCTTGGACTTTTTTTTTTTTTGTCTTCTTGTGCAGCTTGCTTGGACTTGTTACAATTTCTACCAGTCCACACCAACAAAATTAGCTGGAGAGAATTATTTCTTTAATTCTGGACAAGTAAGTTATTGTTATTCTCATTATATATATTATAGATTATCATATTATATGTTGACGTTTTTTAAGTGTAATCTTTTCAGGACATGAGTGTGGGTACATCCTGGAACATATTGAGACCAGAGACTATTGAATCGCTCTTTTACCTGTGGCGCTTAACTGGTAACAAGACATATCAAGAGTGGGGTTGGAATATATTTCAGGCATTTGAAAAGAACTCCAGGATAGAATCTGGATTTGTCGGCCTGAAGGATGTAAGTGCTCATCAAGCCCACAGCATGACATAATTTATTTTCGGTGTTTATATTTGTACTTCAGAATCCTTTCAAAGAAGATCACAATTTTGAATAATAATAATAATAATAAATAAATAAAACAATAAGATGCTCAGCTTAGCATTTCAATACTTTAGCTTGTTTGGTCCTACATTTGCACTTAATGCCTGATTACTTTCTCATGTCCTTTGAGATGTTAATTCTTAACCCCCTAACACAGTGCTTAGATTGAGGGGCAAGGAGGGAAGTACGAAGGAAATGAAGGGAGAGGAGAAATTCTTTTGTTTTGGAATGGTTATATATTGAAGGGAAAGGTAGCTGAGGGAAAAGCATTGTCCCTCCAAGTTCCTTGAAACCTAATTTTCATCACCCTTCGAGTTGGGAAACATAAAACTTTTATGTATGGCATCATATTCCCAATATAAAATGCATTGTCCTCTCAAGTTTATTTTATAGAGTAAATTTAAAAAATTTGACCTATAATGTAAATGGCCTAAAAAGATTTAAAGTTAGTATCTGGAATTGAAAATGAAATTGAGCTTCATAATTCCTATTGGTGTCATATTGTCTTGACATTATACTGTGGGTGGATCTTATTTGACTGATCTATGTTTTTTGCATTTTTGTTTATTAATAGTTAAACTTCTTTGTTGATGTTTAAATAACAAAAATATGAATAGCTTTTTTGGTTTTTTTTTTTTTTTTTTTTGGGGGGGGGGGGGTACATTAAGCTCATAAACCTGATACTTTTTGTTAAAAGATATAAAACATAGAAATTTATTTTTACTTCTTTATGGTTAGAGCCCCTGTTGAAAAATTGTACTGTATACAACTTCAATGGAACTTTGCAGTATGTTTATTTATTTACCTTCTTTTGCGAGGTTTGTCTACAATTTTACATATTCATCATTGATCTATGGTAATATATGTTCAAGGTTTATAGTTTGAAGAAATGCAGATGGTTACTTTGTTCTCATCTTTTCTTTGTAATTCTGCCATCTTTTCTGCACTGCCTATGTTCCTCAGTGCATCCCCTAATCTATTGTTAAAAAAAAAAAGAATATTGAAAAATTAATAAGAAAAATTTATGATCGGGAGAAGGTAAAAAATATTCTTAAGATGTATTGACTTATTTTTATTAATCCAATACATTATCAGTTATTAATCCAATACATTATCAGAATTCCAAATTTAGTTATCTTCAGTGGGCAATATCTTGTGGATATTAACTTTGCCTAACCTCATCACTATTTGAGTTTCTTCTTTTAGATTGCTGTAAAGACAATTTGCTTGAAGCAGAATGGTCTAATTTTATTGTTGTCATTCATTAATTGATAATTTTTTGTTTTTCTCAGGTTAACACTGGTGTTAAAGACAACATGATGCAAAGCTTTTTTCTCGCGGAGACGCTGAAATATCTCTATCTTCTTTTCTCACCCCCTACAGTCATCCCATTGGATGAGTGGGTATTCAACACAGAAGCACACCCTTTAAGAATCATTAACCGCAACGATGCAAATTTTGCAGAATCCAAAGGGCAACGTAAACCAGTGATTAGAAAACAAGGCAGGAAGACAGGTCGACTGGGTGGTAATTAGGGTTCATTTGCAGTTCAATGTTTTTGGCTGACCTCACTCATATGATTTTAGACCTCAAATAGATGACAAGCTCAAAGTTTTACCGTTGTACTTTCTTGAAATAGAAGAAGAGTCGGTCTCCGGCTCCCATCAGGGAAGCATGCCGCTCAAACTAAATCCTTCGTTCCAGGTTTAGTGCAGACTGTTGTATCATTTATTCGTATGGCTTGAAATGCCATCTCTTTTTCCTATAAAATGGATATCTAGCAAAGAATGTAGTCAACAAGTTTACAGTCATTTCTCGAGGCGTTTCTCATACAAGTTTTAACAGGCTTTGTGTAGGATCTCCGTTCGGAGTCCTTGTGAACGAAACGAATGTTTTATTTACATTTTCGCATTTTACATATAAGGTAATAGTCATCCGAATGATTTGCTTCATTTTAGGCGCTATTTCTTCATTGGTCTTTTGACATAAATTGCTTCACCCTTTTTTAGTATTCTCCGTTTCTATTTTCTTAATATTGTGTTTGGTAGCAAGGAAAATAGAAAGAAAATAAAATAAGGAAACTTGTGTTTTGGTATTAGAAATAAAAGTTTTTATGGAACGGAAATTAGCATAACGTGGGGCCCGGAAGGAAAACGTTATTATATATATATTTTTTATTTCGATGCTATTGATTATTTAATTGAATTTGCCTTTTTTTTTTTTTTAAATCCTAATATTAACTAACTGGTTTTAAAAAGAAAGGATTTTATTTGTATTATACGATAGCATGGAGAGTACATTACATGCGAAGGGATTAACATTCCCACGATGTTCGTCGAATCAATTAATTTTATATTATATTTCACAAATTGGTTATTACGATGTCTATCCAAAAGAAGTGTATCAATTAATTTTATATTATATTTTATAAATTTAATTAAATGCTTTTTATTTTTAATTTAATTATTTTATTTATTTTAAAGTATTAGAGAATTTTTTTGTTTTCTCTCATATTTTAACAAAATATTAAAGAGCGTTTGGTTTGGAGGAAATAACTTTTCTTTCGAAATACTACTTTTTGTAATTTAATTTTTTATTTTAGATCATAAGAATTTTAATAGTGTCAAGAAATGAGAATATAGTAGAATTAAAAACTCTACTCTCCATGAGATTTTTTAAAATTTCAAAGGGATAGTGAAAATTTTCCTGATTTGTCCTCACTTGTGCATTTTTAAATTATATAAATAATATTATTTACCTTAAAAATGTAATAATTTTTTTATAAAATATTATGAAAATAAATTCTTTCCTAAATATTTTAAACAAAAATCATGTTTTTAACACAATATTATTCAAATCCTCACAAAAATTATGATTAAAAACATGATTTTTGTTGAAAACATGAAAAAAATATTTTTCATAATTTAATAAAAATGACATTTTTAAGATAATAAATGTGGTCTTTGTTAAAAATATGAAAAAAATTATTTTTTAGAATGTAATAAAAATTCGTTTTTAAAATAAAAAAAAAAACACAGTCTTTATTGAATAGATAATATTTCTAAGATAAAAATACAATTGAATTGAGTAAATCAAAAATTGAATATATAGAATGTAAGTTTAGTAGTTATAAAGAAATAAATGCTAATGTAATTAAGTTAGAAGATTATGTGATATAAAAAATTAGTCATTTTTATATTTTGAATCAATTATTCAGAACAATGTAAGGATAAAAAGAGATATGTATCAAAGGATTCAAGCATGATTGATAAAGTGGCAAAGTACATTAGATTTATTGTGTGATCGTAACATATTTTTCAAGTTAAAGGTGAAATGGTATAAAATAACTAGAAGCATGTATTGTTATATGGGATTAAGTGTTGAGTAATTAAAAAACAACATAGGAAGAAAATAAGCTTAACAACTATGAGGATGCTTAGATGGATGTATGGTAAAACTAAAAGAAACAAAAATAAAGCTTAAGAGATTAAAGGAAAATTAGTGATAATTTGAATTGAAGAAAAGATAAGAGATGAATGTTTTAGATAATTTAAAAATGTGAAATATAAGCCTATTTGTGCACCAGTAAGAAGAAATAAGTTTTTGGATTTAGGAGCGAGTAAAGTTTCTAAAAGTAGATCACAAAAAATGTAAATGCAAGTAATAAAAGATAATATAAAGATTAAGAAAATAAATAAATTTTTTTTTATAGAAACGAGTGATACAAGACAATTTAAAATTACTATCTAACATAAATTTTTTTTTTTACTTTTCATATAGTCAATCAAAGTTATGAGATATAAAACTTAGCTTGTTGTTGTTGTTTGCATATTAAGTTTTGGATCAAAAAGTAGAAATAAAAAAACAATTTTGAATCGAACCAAATTATATAATTTTGTAGTTTATATATATTTAAATTTTTGTAAAATAAAAATAATTATTTTATATTTAAATTTATTTAAATATATTAAAAATTATATTAAAATAATATTAAAATTTTAAATGTAAAATTCGATGAATTGATAAAATTTAATTAAAATAAATTTAAATTTAGATGAAATTTTAAAAATTAATAATATTATGAATTAATCAAAATAAACTGAACCAATATCACCCCGGCACACTGTCTTCGTCGCTACTCAATTCCTCGTTCATTCCTCCTTCTCACGGAGTCGGAACCCATTTTTCCAAACAAAGAAACAAATATTTATTTCAAGAAAAGAAAAAGAAGACAAAAATGTCAAATTCTTACAGCGATTCGATACCTCTTAACGCGTCGTCCCAATCGGACATTGACGAGATCGAGAATCTAATCAACGCCAGCGTCCAATCCGGCCCAGCCACAGTCCTCCCGGCACGCCCTCTAAGCCCGCCTCGGGCCTCCATTCCCGTCTCCACTTCCCCCTTCATCCAATCCAATATCCCTCCTCCGCCTCCGCTCTCCTCATCATCGTCCAATCAGAAGGTGCCGTATGTCCCTGACGCTCCTACTCCTCCTCCACCCGTTGGTAACTCTAGCAGCATCTTGGCGACCGGATTCGGTCCCACGCCCAACACCCTAACGGAGCCTGTTTGGGATACCGTTAAAAGAGATCTGTCGAGGATCGTAAGTAACTTGAAGCTGGTGGTGTTTCCGAATCCCTTCAGAGAAGATCCAGGGAAGGCGCTGAGAGATTGGGATCTGTGGGGTCCTTTCTTCTTCGTTGTCTTCTTGGGACTCATGCTTTCTTGGTCCGCCTCCGTTAAGAAGGTTTGTTGTCACTCTGGATTTCCATTTAACTTTTTTTTTAATTTATTTTTTGACATTTTGACATTTTCTTTTCTTTTTTATTTGTGTGTGTTTGATAAATTGATTTAATGTGCATATAATTAATTTATTATGAAAATTTGATTGTTAGCTGTTAAAATCTTATATAACTTGTTGTGGATCCTTAGTTTACATAATGAAATTGGGGTTAGTTGTTGGAATAAGAATGCTTCTCTTATTTCAACAGAGTTTTTTTTCTTTTATATATATATATATATATATATATAAATTTTTTTTTTTGTTGTTTGCTTTTTACTTCTCTAAAATCCTTAGAAATTACAAGCAAATGTTGATAAAAAATGAACAAATTTCTACGAGACTGAGTTCTAAGTAATTGTTCTACCTAAATGTAAAATTATGCATTTTGCTTTTCAAGATTTCTAATTATTTAAAATAACATTTTCTTTTTTATCAAAATGCGGTTTTTGCCTTTTGCTTTTGGAAGCAAAAAGCAATTGGTAGAAGTAACAAACAATACAACACCATTGATTCCGTCTAAAGTTAAAAGATACTCTATGTTATTGATTTGAATTATAAATATTTATGTTAGATTACTGTAATTGATAGTTGTTTGTGGCAGTCAGTTAGTCTTGTAAAAAAAAGCTGGTTGCATAGACTGTGATTTTTTTTTGGTTATGGTAGAAAATTTATCCCTCTGATGGATGGATCGAAGCAGCTGTTTCTGATGGAGGATTTGGATTGCTGCATATCTGTTCCTATTTAGCACTTAAGTTATACATGTAAGAATAGATAAGGATTCTTCTTTAAGTAGGTAGATCTTTTGTATAATTTCTTTTTCCCTATTCATTTACTTGAATGTTTTCTATTTCAAATTTGTCTCCATCATTTGATAGTTTTAAATAGAGCATGATGGCACAATATGATCTATGTAGCTGACCGCACATCATGAGAGAAAGGCTTAGTTTGTAATTGCTTTTGTATTTGATTGTTTTAAAGGGTTTTCACGTGTAAGTGCAAAACATCTTGACACCTGTCAATGGGCTGTGGTTCGAAGATTTAGTTATTTATTTTATGACAACTGTAGCCTTGAACTGAAGTTGCAATTCTTAAGATTTGGATTTAGGGCGAGATATATAGTCTATGCATCTTTCTAGTGGTTTGTTTATTGTTATTCTCAACTGCTCGATTATTATTTGTATTGTCCAGTTTTTGGCTCTTTTGGTAAGCTTAGTGATTTTGGAATGCCATTCTATGTTGATCCTTACCTCTTCTTCAAAGTTATAGATTTTACATAAGATCTAGTACCTAAATAATTAGGACTTTTAGTCCTTCGGACTTTTTCAAGGTTTTGATCGTAAATGAAATTCTCATTCAATTTAAGTGATCTTGTTTTTTGACTTGCACACCTGTCTGCATAGCTACATATAGCATTGCTTGTGCATTTGGCCTCTTCCATCTAGAGATGGAGATGATCCAGCTGCATTTACTGATAAAAATTGAGGTCGATCTAGGACAGATTGGAGATAACTTGAGGTGCTGGGTTGCCTATTGGCTTCCAATTCCTTCAAGATCTTTTGATGCATGATGATGATGCTTTACATTTTTAAGAGATATCATCTCGCCATATTTTGTGATTACTTGTGATCTTGCTTCTGCTTGTTTTATATTTGTGATTTCTCTTCCTGCAATCTTGCCTTATCTCTTCTACTTGTGTTTTTTTTCATCTTACATTTATATTCTTGTAAGTTATTTCTGTTATGCATATTTTCACTGTATAAGAGGCATCTCTTATGTTTGTATATAGACCTTTCTTCCAAAATATATATATATATATATATATATCTATTATCTGTTTATTATAAAAATTATCGTGGTTTTTACTTAGTCAGTGCTAATTTTTTCTCCTTTTAAAAATGTTTCAGTCTGAGGTATTTGCTGTTGCATTTGCACTGCTTGCAGCTGGTGCTGTAATTTTGACGTTGAATGTACTACTACTGGTAATGGCCTCTCTCTTTACAGAGTAAAATTTTACGATGTGTGCTAGTTTTTGAAATTTATTTAAATGTTATTTCTGGTTTGGGAATTCCCATTTTTCATATAATTAGATACCATTATTTTGAAATTTTGGTGTAAAATATGATTTCTGCTGAGGTTTTGCCCTTTACATCCTTTCAGGGTGGGCACATAATTTTTTTCCAGAGTCTGAGTCTTCTAGGTTATTGTTTATTTCCTTTGGATATCGGAGCCCTAATCTGTATGTTGAAGGACAACGTCTTAGTCAAATTGATTGTGGTCTGTGTAACATTGGCGTGGAGTTTATGGGCTGCCTATCCTTTCATTAGTTCAGCTGTCAATCTGAGGAGAAAAGCGCTTGCGCTCTACCCTGTTTTTCTTATGTACGTATCCGTTGGTTTTCTCATCATTGCTATTGATTGAATTTCCTTCCCTTTAGGGGTTCCAAAAGAGTTATCCAAACTTATATAGAGTTACATGTATAGGAATGTCATGTGGTTACTGTATTTTTTGACCGGACAATATCTTTCAAGGCTCATTAGGCAAATATGATATACTAACTTCATCAGATCCTTTTGTGTTCTACTTCTTACTTTCTCCATGACTTTTGGTAGCAATGATTTAAGCGCTCAGGCTGCAAAAAGGCTTATTAGGTATTGAGCTTTCTTTTCTTCTCTCTTTTTATTTGGGGAAGGAAATTTGAGCTAGATTTGATAATTAATGTATTCGATGTCTTGTTTTGTATAAAACACTATTTTTTTTTTTTTTGTTATTAAACTCATATATGATATTTGTTAAAATCATATCATCTTCAAATTTTTTTTTTGTATTGTGTTTTCAAATCATGTTTTAAATTATAAAATCTTTTTAACCTTTTTTTTTCCCTTTGCTTTGTTTGATTTGTATGGGACTTGTCTCTTCTGCCATGCCATGTCATAACTAAGTACTTGACGTACTAAAATGTTCACAAATAAAAATTCTAATACATCACCTTATCCCAAAACTTGATTTCAACGATAAAATTTTTTTAGAGTGAGAGATTAATCTTTATGAATATTTTTGAGGTGAAAAAATTATCTTAAATTATTATTAAATTATAAAAGTAATTTTAAGATTAATTTTTAATAATTAAATTATTTGATAAAATTACAAAGAGATTTTATGCCCTTGATAATTGGAAATCAAATTGATATTTTTTTGGATGAATGTTATAAGGGTGTTATAATTTTTTTCATGCGTAATCGTATTTTAAACTTAAATATGATTTTATAGGTTAGAATTTACATTTTAAAGATATTTGAATCAAATTTAAGATTTTTTTTTTTAAATGTGATAGATTTAGTTAGATGTTTAATCACATCTAAATAAAAACAAGTGGTAGTAACTTTTAAAATTTATGTCTAACGATAGGTTCACGAATATATATTATAATAATTAACAAAAATATTTATATTTAATATTAATGTTTATTGTAAAAATATTAAAAATAAAAAAGTTCCGAATATTTTTGTAAATTACTTTAACCAGATATTAAATTACTTAATTTTGACATACTTGATTATTAAAGTTGTTTAATTTTGTGTTCAGCTTAATAATAATAAAAACAAATTCGAATAATTTTCCAATGGAGCTATGATAGCTCATAAGTTGTGTGATCTACTAATAAAATGATGTTCTTTTAATTTCACTAATTATGTTTAATTTTTAATAAACTTAAATATTAAAAAAAGGAAAAAAAAAAAACAACAAAGTATGCAATAATACTAAGTCCATTTTTGTAATTTTATTTTTTTAGAAAAAGGAAGTGAATCACAATAAATGGAATGAATCGTTGGGACAAGACCTAATTTATTAAAGCCGTAGTCAACCCCATTTAGACCCGAACAATTAAAATAGTATTTAAATTATTAAAAAATTATTTATTGGAATAATATTTAGATAAACATACACTTAGGCTGAATCCAACCCAAATCTGACTACAGCCCAAGCCCAGTCTCTCTCTACCTTTCGTTTCTACTGCCTTCTCTAGCCTCTCTATAAATTGAAAACGTAATTTCTCTCTTCTTCCCATTATCCTTGAAAGCAAAAGAACAAAAATTCCTTTTGTCTTTTCATGGCTCCTTTTCTTTCCCAGACCATAATGAGGCTCAGCCCAATCAGCAAACCGCGCTCTTCCTCCTATCGTCTCCTTTCCGTCCGAACCCAATCCACCCAACCCAACCATTCCGACCTCTCCGATCCTTCCTCCGACTCCTCTTCCTCCTCCGATCAGCTCCTGCGAAAACTTGAAGACGCGATTCACCGTATCATCGTACGCCGTTCAGCCCCCGATTGGCTTCCTTTCCTCCCCGGATCCTCTTATTGGGTCCCGCCATCCGCAGCTCACTCTTACGGCCTTGCCCAGCTCGTTGAGAAATTGGCTAATCCATTGACCCCGGAGGAGTCCATGTCCACCACCACCGTCCGAGGTTGGCCCTCCTCTGATTATTTCATCAAAGGTAATTTCAATTACCAATTGAGTAGTAATTTTTGTTCATTCTCTCTTTCAATTACCGCTTGGCGTCCAATTCAACTTGGCATGTAGATTGTTGACTTATTTGGATTTAGTCTTTTTGACTGGAATATAATTGTTTATAAATCGGGCATCTCAAAATAAGATTTTACCGTTGTTATAGCCTTAGTACGGCACTGTGGTTGCGATTGAAAATTAGTGATTTAAATGTTGGGATTAATATTAGGTAAGAACATGCTTATATTTTAGAGAGAAGATACTCTGTAATCGTGATTTTATACAGTAAACTTTACCTTATTAGCCTTTTGTTTATGCACAAATTCTATGCCAAATGAGGCCTTGGAAGTTCACAGGAAGAAAGTAACAACTAACTTTTTTTACTTCTGCATTGCTGTGTTCTTCTCTACTTTCTTTCCCAAGAAAGTTTGCTGATCATGGGTTTCACAAGAAGAAAGCTAATTGGCTTTTGGGATGTTTATTTAGTTGGTGTTTGTTGGACGAAGGTTTAAGATTAAGTTATATAGCCCCTTTGCTTGTGACTATGGGTTTAAGTGATCAAGTGCTTGATCTTGAACTCGGTTTCAAACTCTATGCTTGAAACTCGGTTCGAGTTTGATCGAGTTTATATTTATAGCAAAAGTTCAACTCGAGATAGAAACCGAGTTACTCAAGCTTGCTTGATTAGGCTCATTTACTATGTTAAGGACAAGTTTGATTCTCATACTTGACTTCATGTGCTCGAGCTCAAATTGAGATTTTTTATAAATTTGTACCAATTTTGAGAAATGAAATGAGCAGTGATTATAAAAGAAAAAAATAAATAAATGGAGAAGCGAATTTGTTTGGATTAGAGCACTTTCCCTAGCATTTATTTTCAGGAGATGGAACCCTTGGAGCTTTGTTTTATTCTAACATTTTCATCATGCCTTTGTTATTTTATTTCGATATAAAAGTCTTGCTAAGAACCCCATCAAATTGCAGCCACCAAATAAGGCTTTGTTTTCTAAATCAAACATTTATTGGCATGAAGTAGACGCTTACAACAGAAGAAAGCCATCCACCCAACATTTAACCAACAGATGGAATAAGAACATGATTCAAACCAAAGGTAGAACAGATGAAGCATAGAAATTCAATCACCTTACATCTCAGAAACAGATAGAACACCAAGACTGAAGACAATCAGGGAAAAACACAGACCCACCGGACCACAAATTCCTTTTCCCACCAAACCTAAAGTTCCCAAATTCGATACTGTCAAAATGAACCATTCAACAATATAAGAAGCATAAAAAACACTAAAAAAGTTATCAGAAATGATTGGGGAGTGAGACGGACTAACCCGTAAATGATCGGGAGAGAGTGAGAGGAAAAGGGGCACCGAGTAAGAAAAACTAAGCTGGTGTTGGAAGGTTGGTTGGTTGGTTGGATGCTACACTGGTGTCAAAAAGGATCAGGAGATAGCGAGAGGAGGGGTGCCACATATTGGTTCTGGTAGGATTGGGAGTCGGGGGAGTGAGTGAAAGAGTAGATGGAAAATGATTTATGGTTTTTTAGATTAGATATATTAAGGGTAAAATAATAAATTAATTATTAAAATAATAAAAATATATATTTAAATGAAAAGCTCGATTAAGTTTTTGCACTGCTCAAGTCAGGTATTACAATATTTGAACTTGACTCACTCAATAATTCAAGTTACTCAAGCTCGGATCGACAATGACCGATTCAAATTAGATTTTTTTTTTTTTTTTTAATCAAGTTCGAGTAGCTTGTGAGGACAAGTATCTCATTTACACCCGAACTTGTGACAACCATTAGGATGGGATGGGAGTAGGATCTTTCCTCTGAATTAGACTATACCTTGAACCAGTTTCCTAAATTTTTACGAGTGGCAGAATATAATTTTCTTTACAACATTGCAGGTAGATCCCCGCATCCAGTGGAGGTAGATATAACTTCAAGTATTTCATCTAAATCTGAGGATGAGGAAGGATGAAGCCATGCCTATTGCTCACAATAGCATCTGGGGTGAGTCATAACTTGCCTCTCACGTAAAAATTCTGCACATCTACTTGAAGAGAGGAGTTGTTTATTGATTATCATTCATGGCTAATGAGATTTGCAGGCTCATCCAGAATTGTGAAGTTACAGGAGGAATAAGAAGTAGATTCGTTGACAAGATCTTTCAGTCAGATTGGAGGAGCTGTACAGGTGCAATGTGGCTAGTGGAGCAGAAATAAATTCTTTTTAAAATTTCACAGCTGAAATGATTCTGTTTTATGTATTTTAAAGAAGAGGGACTAGTTCTTCTCAGTTAGATTATATATGCACCATCCAAATTCAGGTGTGCTGTAAATCTGGATTAACGTTGCTATATTTCAGCTTTTTCCCTGTGTAAATATTCGAATCTTTTTAATACTGATTGAAAAATGCTCATCTTAGTCTCACTTCATCTCTTCTATTTGCTTGCAACTTTATGATGTATCAATTATTATCACATTAAATTATGGTTAAAATATTAAAAAAAGCTCTTAAATTATTTTATTTTTTAAAATAAGTTTTTATATTTTTGTTGTATTTAAATATGCTTTTATATTTTGATTTGTATTCAAATAAATTATTATCAAAGGTTTATTCAGATATAAATTAAAATTTTAAGGGTTTATTTGGATATAAATTAATATTTAAGTTTTTATTTGAGTGTAAATAAAAATTTAAGTGTTTATTTAAATATAATAAAAATATAAGAATTTATCTTTAAAAAAGCAATAAAAATTAAGGGTTTTTTCATTATTTTAAGTTTAAATTATATGAGATGTTTGGTTCAAGAAATTTTTCGTGAGAAAATGTAATCTTTAAATAAATGTGATATAAGAATTTTTTTTATTTTTTAAGTTATTTCATGTTCAAATTCACTCGTTTTGTTGAAGATAATCCATGTATATTAATTTTGAAATAATTACTATAATTTTTTTGACATATATGATGATAACTTTTTATTAGCTTTTATTAATAATAAATACTCAAACAATAAATAATATCTTTAGCAACAAAAGAAAACAAATATTTTTATACGAGACGTTTCGTTCACGAAATCGTAAACTTCAAAGAAAATGTAATCTTAAAAAAATGTGATATAAGAATTTTTTTTATTATTTTTAAGGTATTTCGTATTCAAATTCACTCGTTTTGTTGAAAAGAATCCATGTATATTAATTCTTAAATAATTATCATAATTTCATTGACATATATGATGATAACTCTTTATTAGCTTTTATTAATAATAAATACTCAAATGATAAATAATACCTTTAGTAGCAAAATAAAACAAATATTTTTATGATTGCTATTTTATTTATAAAATATCATCAATTAAAAAATATTAAAATTATTTAAAGCGTTTCTAGTTGGAAAACAGTTTAAAATAATATCTTTGTTATTTTAAAAGAGATTATTTAAGACGTTTTTCAATAAAAAAACACATTAAATAATTTATTTCATTTTCTAAAGGGCACTATTTAAGACAGTTCTGGACTCAAAAAACTTTAAATAATGTCATTTAAAAAATGAGAAGATTATTTAAGGCGTTTTGAGATAAAAAAAAGCTTTAAATAATGCATTTAAAAAAATTTATGATATTATTTAAGATTTTTTTGATAAAAATACCTTAAATAATGTTGATATATTTGATATATTTGTTAAAAGACATTATTTAAAGCGTTTTTGTCTAAAAATACCTTAAATAATCCTTTTTAAAAAATAAAAAGATTATTTAAGGTATTTTCTGTTAAATAATCTATTTGTAAAAATATAAAAAGATTATTTAAGGTATTTTTTTATTTAAAAACGTCTTAAATAATCATTTTATAAAAATATTAACACTAAATCTTAAAATATAAAAGGATTATTTAAGACGTTTTTTTTTTGTATAAAAATGTTTTAAATAATTCATTTATAAAAACATAAAATGATTATTTGAGGTATTTCTTCATGTCAAATGCCTTAATTGCAATATAAAATTTTTTTATGTACAAAAATCTACAACTGATTTCTAATAACTTCTAGAAAGGCTTTTCAAAAAGATAATAACTATTTCATAATTTTTTATTCATATCAAATTTAGAAATAAGGTAACTTTTCTTTCAAAATCCTAGAATACCATAGGAAAATGTGAGTTTTTAATGTCGAGACTTTGGGTACTGTTGAAAATTTATCACTTTCTCTCATAATTGGATTATTGTGACTCAAACATATGAATCAAGTACCCACCATCAAAATTTCAAAAGAAAATTTATGAATTCTCTCAAACCAAAAGCTATCATAGTAGTAATCTATGTTTTTCGAAAAAAATGATGTAACATAGTATGTTTAGAGAAAGCACAAAATAATGTTGTTTATTTTTTACTAATTTAGAAATCTATGAGATCATTTTTACTTGTTAAATGCTCATAGATACTTAAATTGATATTGTTTAATTTATGTGTCTAAGTTATATATAAAATGTGTATAATATAATATATTTATGTCATATTTAGTACATAAGATTATGATAGAATATGATAAGATAATATTATGAATATGATTAGATTAAATAATGTTATCCTATTTTATGTTTGATGTATGCAATGATTAAGATATGATAATTTATTTATTAGTCAAAATTAATCTTCTTCAAAATTTATATAATTTAAATTATTGATATAATTTTTAAAGATATAATGAGACATGTAAATTTAATTTCATAAATTAAAAATAATCCCTTATTTTTCTAAAGAATAGAGTTATCTTATTGGTATAGGATATTTAATTCTTTCAATAATCTAATCTTTCTATTTAAGTGCATAACAAATATGTGATATAATAATTAGTATTCTATTTTTTAATTAATCATATATGCTAAACGTAATCTTAAATTGTCAAAGTGTCGATGTTATGCCAAAATAAAATATTTACACTAATTAACGATTGATTTTTGAATTAATTGATATATTATTAGAATTGATATTTAAAAATTACGAGTATGAAAGAATTTATATGGATAATATCTCTTTAATCAAGTGAATATTAGAGTAGGGATTCAAAAAAAAAAAAGTTAGAAATTTCAAAAATATTTAAACTCTCCGTTTCCAAATATAGTAAAACCAAACTCAATTTTTGCCTGAGCCAGCAGATTGTTTACACCTTTCTTTCGTGCCATGTAGAGTTGAAGACATCAAGGTTTCGAACCTGAAATCAAACATGTAAGAGCAAAAACACGATTAGCCACTCTGGACAGCGTACTACCTCTCACAGCATACATACCGCACAAATCTAAGACGGATGAAACATCTCCATGCACACACATCGGTGGCGGATCCACGAATCGTTTTAGGAGATGTATATTTATAATATATATATATATATATATATATATTTATGGATGAATTTATCAATTTTATTTATGAAAAAATTTTAGAATATTCAATAGAAAATTTTCTTCAAATTTTTTTATTTTTCAATTTTTGAGGTATCCATTAAAAAGTTTTAAAGAATGTATAGTTGAAAATTTTTTTTCAAACTTTCATATTTTTCAAATTTAGAATTATTCATGAATACCTTAACATTAAAAGTTATCCGCCTCTGACACACACAAACAAAAGGATGAGCAGCATCCGACCATGTCGGACAGATATATCTTTATTTTGTTAGCGGAAGAAATAGAAACAATTATGCAATTTGGGTTGTTTATATAATTTATCCACTCTTCTCACCTTAACTCATGAGTGGCTAATACTTACAGTGGGCAATGGGTAAGTGGGCAATGGGTCGAATCGGAATCATTTTTTGTTTATTTTGAATATGATCTAATTTTATATTCATTAAATTTGAATTTAATCTTATTCGAAATTTTTTTTATTTTTTTCATATTTGAATCCGACTTGATTTAATACCGTATAAATCATATCAGATTTGATTCGATTAAAAATTAATAAAATATTATTTTTTTAAATATAAATATTATTTTTTAAATATAAATATTTAAATATATAATTATATAAATATATATAAATAAAAAATTAAATAATTAATTAAAAATAATTTTTTATATAATATCTGATTCGATCGGGTTGAGTTTATCTAAAATTCAAACTCGATCTGATCTGACCTTAATTTTTTATTTTTTAATTTTACTCTATTCGAAATTCAATTTTCAAAAAAACAAAATCGATCCTGTAAAATTGAGTTGAGTCAAAATCTGTCAGAGACGAATTAGATTGTCGACACTATTAATACTTTGTCAAGAACTTAATTCCTGATATTCATCAACATCGGATAAATGATAGGCAACACTTCCATCAGTTAAAAGAATCAATTTTCTTAGGCTTCATTCGGATTCGCTCACAGCATCAGTGCGAGAAAATTTTTCACCTTTTTGGTGCAATTGCATCATTTCATTTCGTTTAGATGTCTACTACTGTAGTGTGATTGAGCTCTTCCAGCAATAATTCTCCACCGATAAAAAATGGTCCAGTGAGTCACTGAATTGGACCATTTACTGTAATACTATTATTTTTTTATTTTGTATTTATATTTAAATTAATTAATGTTTTATATTTTACTTGTTTAATATTATTTTATTAAATTTTAATCAATATAAATATATTATTATCAATTTTTAAAATATATATTATTTAATATAACAATAATTTTTAATCATTTATTAATTTTATAAATATTAAATAATTTAAATTTTATTATATATAATTTTTAATTTAATATTTTTAACGGTTATTTTTTTATTTTATTACAATTCATCTCATCATTATTATTACGTTTACAATTAAATATATATCTCATTATAAATTTTAATCTCATCATTATAATAATCACTATTATTATTATTAATTTTACCAAAATTAATCTCAACTTTTAAATCCAAATAGAATTGTGGTGAGGTGCGATAGGTATGAATTTTTCACTGGAGGGAGAAGCTTCTGTTCACGGCTACCGCAACTTATTTATTTATTTATTCCATTTTTTCTCCTTTAAGTTTAAAACTTTTAATTTTTTTAATTTTGATTATTTTATTTAAAAATTATAAAATAAATTTGTTAATTTAATATAAAAATAAAATTTATTACATAATAAATTAATTAATAAATAAAATTTATTTTAAAAATTTTTAACTACTTATTAATTTTATAAATATTAGATAATTTAAAATTTTATTTATATGTAATTTTTAATCAATAATTAACAAATAAAGTTTATTTTAAAAAATTTCAATTACTTATTAATTTTATAAATATTAAATAATTTAAAATTTTATTTATATGTAATTTTTAATCAATGTCCTAAGTGATCATTTTTTCTTTTCATTACAATTCATATTGTCGTTATTACTGTTTTTATATTAAAAAATATATATTTAAATCTTATTACTATAATAATCAATCTTATTTCTATT